TTTTTATTAGAAAGAAAAAAGATTAGAGAAGATATAAAAAGGAAGAGAGAAGAAAAATGCATGAAGAAAGAATCGAGATGAAATAAGATAAAAGAAAATCTAAAGAAGTAAGACAAAAGAAAATATGTGGTCGCCTTTGAACTCGGCATTCAATCAAATCTTAATATTTTCAAAAAATTATTTAGGATAATGCTTAACACCTTATTGTTCACTTATAAACCAAAAATGAAGAATTTTCCATGGAGAGCGCCAGCAACGCTGTATTACGGTTTCAAATCGGTTATCGATCAAACCCTGAATTCATAGTGGCGCGATTGCGATTTAGACGCGATAAATACAAAATACAGTAAATGATATCGCATTCATAGTTACCGATCGCGCGATTTGATTCGCGGAAGCAAATAGCCGCGATTTTTTCAAAACACAAATCATTTTGTGTTTTCGCGAGATTTTGAAATAGTGCTTCGTTAAATACAGATCTTGGTGAATATAGCTCAAAATTTTTGATTTTGTACTTTTAAATTTAGCGCTAATTTTTTATTAATTGAAATGAATTCAAAAACAACCTTTTTTGATGATATAAAACCAAAGGATCAAGTTAAAATTATGATTTAATTTTTTTTAGAAAATAGATAAAATAGCTTTTATTCTTTCTCTTAAAGAGTACGAATGTTTATATAATAAGCATAATCATTTGTATAAAAGTATTATATACAAGAATAAAATTTGGGAATTATTAGCCAAGCAGTATAATATGCTTGGTAATAATTTTGTATACATATTATATTTATAAATTTTTTAGGTTCATCTCTCTGGAAAAATCTGAGAAAGGCAAAAGCTAAAAAGACTGAAAAGTGGGTCAGAGGTCACATCTCATGGCCATTCTATCAGGATATGCTATTCCTGGTAGAAACCTTAACACCTAGATCACAAAAATCCTCTTTAGATATAGAGGAATGTACTACTAAAGATGCAATGATTTAATGAAATAAGAGGGGGTATACATGAATTTAAAATATCGCATTTTAATTGATAAAATATATTTATTATTTAGGTGATCTCATTGATAGTGAGAATATATCAATGATATATTTATTCCCAAAGATTCTGCAGCATTAAATCTTAGTAATGATTCTGGTAATTAATAATGTCTAAAAATTTATATTATCTTTTATATAGAATCTATGTCCTGTGTTGGGTCACCTAGTTTTTATTATAAATGTCCTAAGAGAAAGAACAATGATATGGGTAATTTATATTTTTTGATTTATTGATAAATTTTAAATAGATGACTATAGGAAATTAATGAAAATAGAAGCAGATAAATCATTAATAACCTTGGAAATGCTTAAAAATAAATCAACAGAACATGCAATATGTTTAATCTTAAAAGAAAAATTAGATGATTGTACCAAAGAGGAAAAAAAAGAAATAAAAAATAAAATACTTGAAATTATAAAAGATTATTGATTAAAATTATTTTGTATATATTTTTGTTATTTGAAATATATATTTTGTATATATTTTTGTTATTTGAAATATATATTTTCTATGTATTTATATTATTTGAAATAAACATTTTGTGAAATACATTGAATGATATAATTATTCCCAAAAGTCCTGCATTAATTAAGCTTTGTACTGAGTTTGGTAATTAATAATCTAAATATATATTATTTATAATGAATGATCTTCTTAGAGAAAGTTTAATGATATTGGTAATTTATGTTAACTTGCTTTATAAAAATATTTTCAATAGATGAATTTAGAACAACTATATAGCTTTTTTAGTGACATATTCCTACATATATATTTTATATTAATAATAACTTTATTATAATAATATATATAAAATACAAAACAAGATATTTATAAAAATTAGATGATTGTACCAATCAGGAAAAAAAGAAATAACTAGAATAATTGATATTATAAAAGATTATTGATTAAAATTATTTTGAATATATTTTTGTTATTTGAAACTATATAAATAATAACTTTATTTTTATTATAATATATATAAAATACAAAACAAGATATTTATATAAAATACAAAACAAGATATTTATATAACATACAAAATAAGATATGATTAAATTTATAAAAATTAATAATATAGGATTTTTATATAAATATAAGCATAATCATGGAATGAATCAGAATAGCAGTTGATTTAATACTATATGAACCTTATGTTGCTAAATACCTAAATAAAAAATATAATTAAATAAATTGCTTTATTTTTACTAAACAAACCATAAGCTTTCCTTCAACACTTATAGGATGTTTTATAAAATTGGTACATTTGGTATGTAATAAAGGTTTTACATGTTTGAGTATATAATAAAAGGTTTCCTAAATTAAAATGAATTATAGATAAAATAGAATAAAATTACTTTAGTCATTCTCATATATTTGAAAAATTTAGGCTCATTTTTTAATAGTTTAGGAAAGAGGACATAAAATTTGCCCTCTTTTGTTTTATTTAATATTAAGATGGTTTAATTTTCTCCTCTTCAAGATCATTCTGTAAAAAATAATAATTTTAGGATGGATACCATTTTGAATTAATAACGCTTTGCACTGCACTGAAAATCGCTGCGATCGATCCAGCTGATCGGTCACTGCGAATGAATTCAGGGTAACTATAAATATATAATACTTGAATTTTAAGCTACAAACCTCAATTCATTTACTAATATAATATTAAGTTAAGATTAGTGTGCATATCATATATGTATACACACACATTTCTTTTATGTGGACAAAGCCGCAAGATCAAAATAAAATTTTTTTTTTAAATCTTATACCAAGCTTAACCCTTCAATACTCTGGTGCGGTATATGAAACCCCTGGCATGCTAGAAATGATATTACACAAAAACGGTTAAATATTATGATCTGGATTCTTCAGTATCTTCATCAAATATATCTTAGAATCTAAATTCTAAATTTCATATATTTAGGTCTGTGAAGTTGGTAGAACGACTTGAGGTGCAATTGTCAAAAGTTATGCCATTATTTAGTCTTAATTGCATCTAATTGCACTTCTATCCGTACATCAGCAGAATAAACCGCTTGTGAGTTATGAGCAAAATAAGAAAGTGTTGACACTTTGCTGAAACCGAAAATAAGAAAGATAATGTTCTGAAACTTGCCAATAAAGTAGCATTCAATTTACGCTTCAATAAAAAATTTCTTGTGTTTATTACATAATATAGTTAGGTAAATGTTCTTCACTTAAAAAAACGATTGGTACAATAAAAAAAAGAAATATTGTTATATATCATTTAAACAATTATTTTTATTAGTTTGTTTTTGAACAAAAATTTTAAATTAACCCGCCCGCCCATTGTTTAAATCTCTTAACCCGCCCACCCATAGTTTCAAATTTTTTAACCCACCCGCCTGCCCATTTTCGAAAAACTTTTTACCCACCCATCCGCCCGCCCACTTAGATGGACGTGGGCGGACGGGCCAAAACAATGCCCAATGCAGACCTCTAATATCATCCCCCAAGGACCGAACAACCAAATTGGATTAAGAAAAAATATGATCTTTGCTTTTGCTGGGGTGGGTCTGAACGCCTGGTCTGTACTCAGAGATGGTGGTCAATTTTTTAGACCCAAACCCCGAGTCTGGGTTTTACACAACCAAACAATTAACAACACTACCCCTGGCTTTATGTTTGCTTATTGAGACTGGCTTATATACAAGAATTCTAAGTTCCATCACCAAAAGGGTAAATGAATTATTTTTAAAAAGTAAGAGTTCCTAAATGAAGTGACAATGATATTAGTATTTTAAAATGGTATGCTAGTAATGTTATATTACCCTGAGTGGTATTTGAGTTGATGCCATCAACACCTGTCAGATAGTCAAAGTAAAAATCATGTTTTATAGCATGCGTTAATAGCTATAACCCTAGAAAATAATAATTTTCCATCATCTTAATTTTGCTGAGACAACTATTTGAATAAAATATAGAAAAGAAAGGAAACCCAAGGGTATTTGTCAAAAGATATCAAGAATTTAAAATCACTTATTAATTGATAATAATAAACAATAAATATCTCAAAATCAAGCTCATAAAGCTAAAACACATTTAGCAGTTACAATCCCATTTATCCCTTGTGCTTTAACAGGAAATAGGTTGTTCTTATCAAGAATAAATGTGAAAGCTGTAATATTTTCTAAATTTAAAGTTCCCACAATTACTTTTATTTCATAACTATAAGAATGACATTTTAATAAAAAAAATTATTTTGATGCACCCAGTTTTCCTCAGGTCTGAAGAGAATATACAAATAATTAAATTTGATTAAAGAATTTAATTTATTTATCAAATCCTCAAAAAACAGATTAAATATTGCAAAAATAATTCTTTTCTGATAAAAAATATATAAACATTAAGATAAAAATGGCAGTTCTTATAGTAAAATCAATATGCTGATAGATAAAAAAAAATACTTAAAAATATTAAATACGCATATAAAAGAATAAATCTAATTTAAAAAATTGAAATTTTTATATACAACTATATAATAATAATTGAATGAATTATCAGTTATTGTCAGTTTATGACGTTTACTGAAGTAGGAAATAAAGGTTCATCCACAGGGAACATAATAAATAGTATAGTTTCAAATATTTATGAAACTTCTAGAATAATTTTATATGAATAAATTGACAAAATAGGTATAAAGTTATTTGAGAAATATATTATTTGATTATTGATATAATATCTACTTACAAATAATTAATTTATTTAATTTTAAAAGAGAAATCAATTCAAATATATATACCTTTATTATTATAAATTGGCAACATATATAAATATATTATTATAAAAATTTGGTTCACAATGAATTTTTTCAGCATATAGCTAAAATAGCATTTAATGTTTGATTCACCAACGTTTTACGATTCAATAATTCATAAATTTTTATTTATACAATTTAAAATATAAATTAATTTGAGCATTTTAAATAAAATATTTATATCTTAATACTTGATTGATTATTAAACTTAAATATGTCTTTTAAGGCAAAGGATGATTTATTATATTAATAATTAATTTTGAAACCTAATTCCTGAAAAATTAATTTTGTTAAAATTTATATGAAATTTTTCCAGTTGTAACCATTAACACCATAAATACTTTAATTCTGAATATAAATGCTCTTCTTCCAAACAAGGTCCAATATATTGTTATTATTGCCTATAAGATTCCAGTAAATATTGATTCCAAACGAGTCCCGTAAATTGTTATTATTATCAATAAGATTCCCTTAAACACTGATTGCATTTAACAATATTATTTTATATACAAGTTATTCAAGTACTATTTTTATTTCTCAACTAAAAATTGATACATTGATATTCAATTATTTTATCATAAAGTGTATAATTAATGTTTGAATATTTAAGTCATTGTAATAATTTATATATAACAAGTATGACAGAATTTAAAAAGATATTTATGTGACATGGTAAATCATTAGATCAAATGCTTACATAGTATATTATGTAAAGTATATAAATCATAAATGAATGTTCTCTACAACTTTTTCACATTGTATCCATCTGTAATGAATAATTTTTTTACATATTTTTGGAAGGGTATAAACAACATTTTTTAATGCAATCAGTGTAGTTTAGGAATATGAGTTTGGTTTAGGAATGAAGGGAACATGAAATAAATATTAAAAATATGTCAGTATTAACAAAATATTTTCTTTTAAATTTTGACGTATATAAACAAAGTTTCTGTACAATATTTTAGTAAATTTTAGCCTTATACTTTTAGAGATAACAGGGGGGGAAAGAAAGAAAAATGCCTTTACTTTATGAGATTCAGTTTTTATTTAATTAATAAATTAAAAAATATTATGGGGCATCTTTTGCCCAGTGCAATATATAAAACCTCAATCAGAAAATTAATAACTTTGATTAAAATAAAATAACAAACTATTACAATTTTATGAATATAAAAAATTAGATGGACTTAATGTCAAGGTAAAATCAAAAGAACTTAGCAAAATGTGTATTTTTTATTAACTACTTATATTTTTATTATCAGGTACCGATTGCAGAGCCCAGCTATGTTAAAAAAAATTACTATGGTCTAGCTTGGATTATTCAAGTCTTATTTATATTTTCAGGCTAACCCATATTAAATTACAGCCTAGCCCTGTCCAGATTTATAATAAAAAAATTAAGGCCCTGGTTTTAAAAAAAATCTTAGGCTATAGTTTTAAAAAATAAACTGATTAGGCTGCAATCTACTTTTTTGATATATCAATTATTTTTAAAATTATTTTTCATTTAATTCCAGAAAAAGTAGTTTTATTTAACAAAATGAATTTGATTTGTTATGTTTAATATAAAATATATTAAAGGTTACAAATTATTATTTTACCATACTAAATTTGGTTAAAAAAAGAATCAGGTTATTTATGAATGTTTTTAATAATAATTTATTCATACATGCTTCTTCCTTAATTAAATAAAAATCAAAACTTATAAAAAGGTCATTTTTATGTTTCTACCCCTAATATCCCCAACACATGGCTAAAATCCTATTCAAATATAGGTTATAAAACATTAGGTTTGCATATTAAATTTAATAAAAACAGAAGGGGGTCATTAAAATCATGTATTGACATCAAGATGATTAAGTGAATTCCTAATACATGGCTCAATTTAAGCCATTTTTCTGAAACTGCTAACTCAATTTTATTCCGATATATTACACAAGCGTGAATATTTAGCTCAGAGATGGCACAAAGATTTGGGCATCTACTAGCAAAATCTTGAGGCTTATCTAATATTGTTAGCTAAAATATTGAGTTAGCAGTTTTTTAAATTGGCTCAAATTGAGAAATTTAACATTGGTTGTAAATCAAAACCTTGTTACAGTTAATTGCTTTTTTAATAATACCACTTAGAGATAAATATGCTTAAACTGATCTTGGTTGTGATATGAAGTGTTGTTAAAAGGACAGATTCAGGTTGATTTTTAAACCCTAGATTAACCAAAATATTAGGTAAGCCTCACAATTTTTATCATAGATGGCAGAAAGATTTGGGCTTTTACTTGCCAAATCTTGAGGCTTATACAATATTATTTTGTCTAAAATCTTAATTGGGCTGTTTTTAAAATTAGAACCAAATTGTGGTTTTTAACTAGTAAGTAATCTTAAAAAGGATAACAAGCTTAATTAATAATGTAGTTTTGACTATAAAAAGCAAAATATACCAGATTAATAAGATGTCCAAATTATTTAATTAACAATAACAAAAATTAGCTCTGGCAAGGTTTTATTGGTTGTATATATAGGATAAGTTAAAATTTTAATTAACAATTTTCTATGCAAGATTTTAATATATTTTTTAGGGATACAAATTTGTAAATTTTAATATAACAAAGCCTGAAAATTATAAGTATCAAAAAATGAAACCTGAGAATTATAAGTATCAAGTTCTGCATCCAGTTCTGCAGTAGTATGCTTCATAGCTGGACCACCTCTCCTTCTTCCGCCCCCATATCCAACACCCCTACCCCTTCTCAAAACTCCTCTCATATTTCCACCTCTGGTGCTAAAATTGTTGAGCCGTTTTAGTCTATTATTACCAGGTGAGTTTCCAGTTCTCATCATTATAGAGTTATCACTAAATTTAGTAAAATGTGGATAATTATAATTAAATAGTATTTAAAGTTATATTTTCTTAAATGCAACTATACTATATATTACAAAACTAAGGCCTCATTTATAATAACTTTGAAATACTGCATTGGGAAATGTTGGAGTTTTTTTAGTTGATTTAATATGGTATACAACATATACATTACATACCTTAGATCATTGTCAAGAGAGGTTAGATTAATGTCAGAGGTAGCCATTTGGATGTTCATTGGTCGTCCTTAATAAATAATTTATATGTTATAAAATAAAATTCACTTTTACCATCTAAGGGAACATTGTTGTACTTTTTTATAGCTTGTAAACCATCTAGTTTTCTTTCAAATATAACATCTGCAGTTCCAAGGGACCTACCAGTTCTGTCATAGTGAACAGCAGCACTTAATAGTGGTCCAAATTCACCAAAAAGTTCCTATTTTATAAAAAACTCTAATTGAAAATTATAATTGATTACTTGAATATCAGAATCAGTAACACCAAAATCTAAATTAGAAATCAATAATTTTCCGGGCCCTCCTGACATGGAGGTAAAGGAATTAGCTCCTGCTAATAAAACGTTGTTAGGCCGACTTATATTTCTTTTTGGAGATACATTAGTTGCATTAAACATATCGTGTTGCCATTTACCGTTCATAGAACTGTTAGGTAGCTATAAATATGGATAACTCGTATTTTCATTTAATTGATGTATTACATTTCTTCTAGGGCGTCTATTGTTCTGACTGACGAATCTTCTATTTCCAACTCCACCTCTTGCACCCCTTTGCATTCTACCTCTTCCTCGACCCCTTCCCATGGATCTTTTAGATTTAATAATATCATCTAGAGACATATCTATCTTGTCAGCCATCTTGAGAGAATAAATAAAAATGTAAACCAAAACACTGCGTGTAAATTATTATTTTTAAATTTAAATTCAAAATATTATTATAAATACTTCAAATATTCGTAATTTTTTTTGTATGTATAAAAAAATATATGTTTATTTATATAACTTGATTTTATTTTATCGCGTATTCCAAGCATATAAATTATTTCTTACTATGTTCATTTTTTTAAGTAAATCTACTAATTTATGATATTCAAAACTATTATTACCGTTTGAATATTAAAAAATATATATATAATTGATTAATTTTTTAAATATTAAATTATGATCAGATTTCCTGCATTGTTAGAGTATTATATTTTTTTTGCAATTAATATAATTTTTTGGTTTTTAGGTCCTCAGTTATAAAATTCAAATATTTATGTTTTCTCATTTCAGAATGCGTCTTATTTCTTATATTCAATATTTTACATTTATTTTAATATTTTAGCTAAAAAAAAATTTGAAGAGCTTGATCCAGTGGAAAGACTTGTCCTTGTTACTTCGATTGTCTCAAATAAGTTAAAATTTAAAAAAAATAGGGTGGTTATATTATGCATGTAATTACTAAATTTATTTGATGAGTTATCTAAATACATTGGGATAGGTTGTAAATCGCTAAAACAAAAATTGCTAAAAAATTGAAATTTTTCTTATATCTCCTAGAAAATTTTTAAAGTAAATTTAAAATTAATATTTATAGATTCTAAAGTGTAAACACTTGTATTTAAGTTGAGTTATCAAAAAAATTACTAAAAATGGTGGATATATTATCATTGCTCTCAATTTGATTACTAATTTGGGAATCAAACTGGGAGTTTGGATGATATTTCTTCCACTTTTAGCGATTTTTTTTAATTCTCAACTTAAATAAATGTTTACTTTCCTAGCACCTATTATTATTAATTTCAAATTTAATTTAAAAATTTTATAGAGATATAAGGAGATTCCCAATTTTTAGCTTAGTGATTTAGAACAGGAACCGAAAGCAGTTTCTATTTATCTAGAATTTTAAAATACAACTTGAGTTATTTATTAATTTTAAAATTTAATATCAATTTATGAACAAATTGTTTAAACTATTGGTGGGTTTATTCAAAGAAACTCCATTGAAGCATTGTATACTTTAAAATATAATTTGGAATATTTTCCTGAAATTTGGGTGCACAACTTTATATTTATATTACATAATGTTAAATAATATTAACTTTAAAAAATTATTTTTTTTTATCCTTAAGTCATTTATGGCGTAACTTAAATATTTCAAATGTAATAAAAATTGTTTCTTTCTTTGTTAAAAACAACTTTTTTTATTTTAAATCAATTTGTTTATAAACTAATATTAAATTTTATATTTTATAAATCAATTTACTTAACAAACTAATATTCAATTTTTTATTTTTAACTTTTTAAAAAAAGATCAATTTATGATAAATTACATTGTCAATATATATAGCAAACTATTTTTGAATATGTGATCATTATATTTTTTTAATTTAAATATCAATAAATTCACGTAATATACGTTTATACCATTTATGTTCTGCTTTTGATTTCTGCAACCTTTTCAAAGTCTTTAGTATAGAAAAGAATGTAAAATATAAATAGTTTAAATAAACGATTTTTTATATAAAATAATCTTCAAAAATACTTTATGGATTACACTTATACTTCAAAGATACTTCATGGTGGCAGTTCCGCTACATATTCGAGGAAGTCGTAAATAAATAAATAAATATGAAACAGATTCCCAATAATAATGTTAATATAAATATTGAATTTCCAATATACGCAGGCAATGGCGATCTTTTTTTGAGTAGATTTGAAGACATCTTCAAGGACAATCAGATATCGGACATCGAAAAAGCAGGTTCCTTTACAAGAAGATTACCAGATGAGGTATACATCAAGCTTAAATCGATATGTTCACCTACCGACTCAATCCATCGATATTGATTGAAAAATTCAGGTTATTACACCCGAGGAAATCTACAAGTTCCAACTTATTATTATTTAATGCAGCTGTACAAGGTAAAAACGAAAGTTACATCGATTGGGTAAGTAGATTAATGTTTGCTAAGTGATAGTAGAGTTATTGAAAAAGTAAAAATTTCGTCAATCAGCAAAAATATTAGGCAGAAAATTACATTAAAAGAAAACATTACATTAGAAGAAGTTCTTACTTTAAGAGATGATTTTGAAGAGTTAGAATTGAAAGAAAATATAATTGCTAAAGTTGAAAATATTTCTTTAAACGAAAAAACAGAAAATGATACAACCGTGAAACATGTAGAAAGGCAAAGAGGCAGGAAAACAGAAGAAAATAAACAATTGGTGAGATATGGAGACCATGTTGAACGACAAAATTTACAATCTAATTACGATAACAGACAACGATGGACAGCAAGAGGCCATGACTTTCAAAGAAATATTTATCAAGGAAATAATTATAACCCCAGTTACCAAGGAAATAATTACAACCCTAGATATCAGAATTATAACGCGAATTATTACAACGTCAGAGCAAACTATCCAGGATCGTACAATAATTCTTCGAGATTTGATAATAGAGCTAGTTATATTAAAAATGACTATAATAATAATAGATTTAATAATGATTATAATTACAGATATAACAGACATTATAACGATTCAAGATGTATTCAAAGATATAATGATAATCATAATATTGGGAATCGAGGAACTAATCAAGTATGCAATTATAAATATCATAACAACGACAATAATCAATCACGATATACAAATAAAGTAAACACTGTAAATATAGAAGAGATAAAAGAAGATGATAATGACAAACTAGAAAGAAAAGAATATAATTTATACAATTTAGACAATTTAGACATAAACAATATGGATACCGATAATAATTACACAGCTAACGATGCTTACAAGGTCACGGTATATTTGAATGACATGCCTATTTTGATGCAGATCGACACCGGGTCAAAGTATAGTATTCTACCGATTCATATAGCGAAAAAGATTGGAGTAAAAATCTTAAATAAATCAGATATTAAATTAACTGGTTATGATGGAAACACAATAAATGTTTTAGGAACTACCAAAGTCAAGGCAAAATTCGAAGACAAAAGTCAAATCTTAACTGCTTATGTAGTCCAGAGTGATAAGATTGCACTGTTAGGAAGGACCTGGATAGCAGTCTTTAGAAATATACTAGATAGATTTGTAAACTTAGTCGAAGAAGATTATGACAATACTATTCAAGAACTGATCAAACAATGCGAGTCAAAACTTAGCAAGAAACCAATACTACGCAATTATGTCAAACTACATCTAAAACAAGGTGCTACACCGAAAATCATACCTCCCAGGCGTGTACCTTATTCTAGAATGGAATTGGTTACAAAAGAACTACAGAAGTGGATAAGCGACAAAATAATCGAACCTGTTGAAGAGGTAAGATGGGCCAGTTCTCTCACTCCTGTTGTCAAGAGCGATGGTTCAATTCGGCTATGTGTTGACTTCAAGAATACTATTAATCCTGCGTTAGAGGATTTCAAGTACCCAATTCCACGCATTAATGACCTTATGGCAAAGTTATCGAAAGGCAAGAAATTTACAAAGATCGACTTTAAAAATGCATTTCTTCAAGTTCCAATACACAAAGAATCAAGAGACTTTCTCACTATTTCAACTCATAAAGGCTATTTCAGGTTTACAAGACTTCCGTTTGGATTAAAAACTTCGTCAGCAATATTCCAACAAACCATGGATAATATTTTCGGGAACATGAAAGACGTCGTGTTTTATATTGATGACTTATTGATTACTGGGGAGGATAATGAAGCTCACGTGAACAACATAAAAATGGTATTTGACAAAATATCAAAGTATGGGCTTACACCAAACTTCACAAAGAGTATATTTTTTTAAAAAAAACTACGGTTTCTAGGTCACGATATAGACGACAATGGAATCCATCCGAACGCAGATAAAATAAAGGCTATTTCTAATATGCCGGAACCTAAGACAAAAGAAGAGTTGGCAACTTTTTTGGGGATGGCGAGCTATTATCGAAAATTTCTGTGCAATTTTGCTGACATCGCCGATCCCTTATACAAAATAGTGAATAAAGACAAGTGGTCATGGGATAGTACACATCAAGAAAGCTTTGATTACCTAAAAAAACTCATAAGCACTCCGCCTACGTTAAATTTTTATAACCCGGATCTACCAGTGGGCATTGCAACTGATGCTTCAAAGAAAGGTTTAGGCGCAGTCTTATTTCATATTGAGGGTGATGGCAAAGAAAAACCCATCGCTTTCGCGTCAAGAGCACTATTGAAATCAGAGTTAAATTATACCAATATCGAAAGAGAAGCTTTGTCGGTAATTTACGCGGTTAAAAAATTCCAGGAGTATTTAATAGGCACAAGATTTGTAATAATTACCGACCACAAGCCACTCGTGTATATATTTACGAAGGGACTCAAGGAAAATTCTTCCATATCAATGCGACTCCAAAAATGGAACTTGGCTATGGGAGCGCATGACTTTACGATAGTTCACAAACCCGGGAAACGAAATATTGTACCAGACTGTTTGTCCAGATTACCACTAATGAATACAGAAGAGATGGTACAAAAGTTAGATGACGAAATAATTGATGACAATCTTTGGGACACACCAATAAATTTTAAAAGAATAGTTAAAGAAACTAATATTGATCAAGAACTAATGGAAGTAATTAATGATATAAGGAATCATGAGCAGATAAAGAACAAAACGTATAAAAATATGGTATTGGAATTGAGTTTAATCAAAGGTTGCCTTTTTAAAGAGAATAGGATCATAATACCGAAAGGTATGAGAAAAGAGATTTTGCAAGAGTTGCATAATGGGCATCTCGGTGCTGGAAAAACAAAATCATTAGCAAGAGAGTATCTGTGGTGGCCTGGTTTAAATGCAGACATAGATCAGGAGGTAAAGAATTGCGATGCTTGCAATAAATACGCAGACAATCCTCATAATATTCAAAACC